CGCGTTGTGTTTGGACGGGCAGGTGGGTTGTTCAGGGCCCAGCTGCTGACACCTGATCCCGCCCTGGCCAGGTGGGAGGACGGAGATTGGCGGCTGGCCCCTGAGATGCCCAAGATAACCAGACAAGGAGATAACCAGAGTCAATCCCAGTCGAGTTGGGTGATAGGCTGAGATGACGCACCGAGCCGCTGAGGCAGATCCTGTCTGGAGACACTCGGGCACCTTGATCGCAGGCAGGCCTGACCTGGCGGGGGGCGGGGGCGAGTGGGCACCAACCTCGGTGTTTCCGTGGCTCAGAGCTTCCGTGCCCTTCGGCTTGCTCTGCTGTAGTTTTGTTTTTGGGTCACACCTGGACGTGCTCCGGGGTCACTCTTGGCTCTGCACTCAGGACTTACTCCTGGAGGTGCTCGGGGGTCCCTATGGGATGCCGGGATTGAACCCGGGTCAGTTGTGTGCAAGGCAAATGCCCTCCCCGCTGTACTAGACTTCTGGCCCCAAGGCCCAAAACTTAAAGAAAAATCCTTGCTGGGGTTTCCCCGTCCCTGGCGTCCTGTCAGCCTCGTGGGTCTGCACACGGCTTGTGCGACTGCCTCGAGTGGCCAGTGACTTGGGCGCCTGCGTGTCCTCCTGCTCCCCAGGGCTGCTCTCTTCCCGGTGCTCCCGGCCCTGCAGCCCTCAACTCCTGCCCTGTGTTCACTCCTCCTTTCTGTGGTGTCCCCCTCCTCTCTCGGTGGCCCTCCCCCTGGGGTCACCCCCCTTCCTGCGTGGTGCTGGGACAGCAGAGCTGCCGGGTTTGTGCCGGCTTTGTGCCAGGTGCACGGTTGACCCCGGGGGCTTGGATTCAGGACCTCCTGCTTGTGAGGCAGTGCTCAAAACCCCCTCTTGTACATTCCTCCCCTCCAAGCTGAAGGAACGGACTTGACCCACGTTCAGGCTCACACTTCTGCTTCCTGCCGAATCACTGCCGGCCGCTAGCAGGCCAGGACCCGTGTGCCACGCCTGTGTGAAGCAGGGACGTTCCAGGGCGTGAGCCTGCTAGCGTCTTTGTCATGGACACAGGTGGTCCCATCACAGGATTTAGGGTCAGGGTCCAAACACAGGAGCATGGGGGTGGGGGTGTGGGGGCTTGTTCAGGCCGGAGACTCTACTAGGCTCACACACAGCATTGAGTGCTCAAGTCTCAGGGAGACAGTGAGGCTAAAACACATTTTCTTTTGCGCTGTTTTTTTCTTTTTTTTTTTTTGGCCTTTTGGGTCACACTCAGTGATGCTCAGTGTTGCCTACTGACCAAGTAAAAGAATGCTTGATTTTTCATTCCCCCTTTGTCCTGCTCAAAGCTGGGCAACTTCCCAGTACAGGAGGTTTCAGTTTGGGGAAAATGCACCCTCGTAAATGATTTGTAAATGGTGTATGAGGAACAGCACAATCTTTGCAGTTATGTCAAAGCTATATCAAAGCAGGTCGTTCTGACCAATAGCATTATGCCGAAAGGGTCACCAGGTGGCTGACCAACAGTGCATGGCTCTGCTCATTGTCCCATCCACTTTCCCACGTCCCATCCCCTTTCCTTCTATTAGGTGGGCTGTGGAAACATACTTAAGTCTGTACTTATGCTCTGAATAAACGCAGGCATTCATGCCATCTCCTAAATGACGAACCCTGTGGGACTCGAGTGCTGATTTCACCCTGAGGGCCCTCCCCTGGCTCTGCCCCGCAGCGCCGGACGTGGCACTCAGGAATTACTCCTGGCAGTGCTCAGGACTGGTGATCGAATCTTGGTCAGCCGTGAGCAAGGCAAACCCCTCCCCACTGTGCTCTCACTCCAGACCCTCCTTTTGCATCTTTTTGTGTTATTTTCAGAATTGATTGATTTCCAAGTAGCGTTTGCTGGCCCTGATGTTCTCTGCAGAGTCCCTTGTTGCACACTGTGTTTCATGGGCACCTTGACATGAAGACTTGGCGCTTGCCTGGTGCATGGCTGACCCCATAGGTCCCCTGAGCACCGCCAGGAGTGATTCCCGAGTGCAGACCCAGGAGTAACCCTGAGCACTGCCGAGTGTCCCAAAAAACAAAAGGAAAGAAAGAAAATACGTATCCTTGCCCGGAAGGGTAGCCCAGGGCCAAAGAGCCTGCCTTGCCTGTGGTTGACCCCACCCCACCCTGTACGTCCCTTCCCACCCAGGTCCTGCCAGGATGAGCTCCCATGACTGGATCAGAGTCAGCCCTGAGCACTGTCAGATGTCCCGTCCTCAGCCCCCAGGTTAGGTCACTCCGCCCTCCCCACCTCCCCCCCACTCCCCGGTTCCCGCTCACTCATCCTCGAGGGGACCCGCACTCATTCAGCTTGTGCTCCCATCCGGAGCAGGCCAGGCCATACTCCTCTGTACAGCTCTCCGGCCTTAGTGGGATGGGCTACTCCCTGGCCACGGTGTGGCCGGTGTTGCTCACAGCACTGGGGTCACAGAGAGCAGGGCTGTCAGGGTCGAGCTCAGGGCCTTTGCCCTGTCGCTCTGGCCCCCCGCCCCCCCCCCCCCCCCCCGGCTCACAGATTTCCTGGCCCGGCTCCTGAGGAGGGCCCTGGGCAGGGTCACTGGGTCCAGGTCCCACTCGGGGGATGCTGAATGACCTCAGTTGGAGATCTGTAACTGACAAACATTTGTCAAAAGTTTTCTGAAACCACTTTCACAGGGCCCGGGGATCCAGAACTGGGCCCCGCAGGGACCAGAGGCTCGTTGGCCATGTAGTGCTGACTTCTGCAAGGGCAGCCCTCCGGAGCCTCAGTCAGACACTGACATCACGAAGGGTGGCGCCTGCCCCTTTAAGAATGGCCCATGATGCCCTCCTCCTTGCTGAATTCTAGTTCTACCTCAGAACATTCTAGACTCCAACTGCCATTTTCAGTCTCTCCACGAGACTGGCACGAGCCTGTTTGGCAGAGCTCAGTACTGAAGCTGCGAGTGCAGTGTGACACAGGTGAATCTGAGTCTCTGGGCTTTCTGCCCGCGTGCGCGTGGCTTTTTTCTCTAACAGTTCTTTAGTGTATGATAGTTTTTAATCTTTAGTTAGTTTAAGTTTTTTTACTAGGTATATATATATATATATATTTGGGTGGTGTGGGGGCGGGGTGGGGTGGGGTGGCCATACCTGGCTGTGCCCAGGGGTGACCCTGGCCGGCTAACGTCCCTGTGCTGACGGAGATCAAGCCCAGGACAACTGGATATAAGGCAAGTGCCCTCCCCACTGTCCTGCCTCTCTGCCCCTTGTGGACTTCTCTATTGAAATATGGAAAGACTCTGAAGTCAGTGGGCCCTCATTGGGGGCTGATGAGAAGCAGAGGAGAAGATATCACTCCCCCGGGACTGGCTGGAGCGCTGGCACTGCTGAGTGCGATGAGCCCCGCCAGCCCCACGACGCCCACTAGGCCTTCCCGGGGTCTTGGGCCAGAGTGAGGGGTTGCCCTTTTCAGGGAAAGGGAGTCGATCCTCGACCTCCTCAGGCCCCTGGGCCTTTGTCCTCCTCGCAGAAAAGCATTTCAGGAGATGAGCATGAAGCAGAAACATTTTATTTGGAGGCCTTTAGGAAGGGGAAGGAGGGAGGGAGTAACACGCTCGAGAGAGAGTGCAGCTTCTCCAGAGGTGCAGAAAGCCACTGAACATGTTATGTTGCTAGGTTGCATTCGGTCTGAAAGTCCACACCTCAGGAGGGGAGAAGCCCGTCACATGACCGACCTCATAGGCAAGAGCAGTACCTGGGCTCGGGCACACATGAGCGCCCTCCCTTTGTTCAAGGTGGCTAATCTAGGGATTTCCCCAGGCTGCCCCTGGTGGGAGTTTCTAGCTACCTAGAGTCTGTTGCTAGGGTGGTTGCCAAGGGGGTAGAGTTGAGTGGTCCATGGTCCTCTTAGAAATTTCTTTCCTGGGCTTTGTTCCTATTCCCTCGGGGGGTCCAGCCTGATCTGGGCCTCCTAATGTGGGTTAATTTTGACCAGACTTTGGGTTCCGTGCCCTCAGGTGGTCTTTTGGTGGCCATGAAGCTTTTGTTGACTTCCTCGGAGTTCCATTGCCATGGGGACGCTTCCCCCATCTACCTGTCTGCCTCAGTCCTGTGGGTTAAGAAATGGAGTTAATACTGCCTTGTGGTTATCCAACTTGGGCAGCATCACAAGGAACGTAGGAAACGCCGAAAACTCCTTCGCTCCCCTTTGGCGCAATTTTTTTTTCTTTTTGGGTCACACCTGGTGATGCACAGGGTTTACTCCTTGGTCTGCACTCGGGAATCACTCCTGGCAGTGCTTAGAGGACCATATGGGATGCTGGGAATCGAACCTGGGTCGGCCGCGTGCAAGGCAAGTGCCCTTCCCACTGTGCTATCGCTCTCCAGCCCCCCATGGCGCAGTCTTGCTGGGCCCTTTTCCCTGGCAGTTCTCAGCCCATAGAAAAAAGTGTGCCTGTTGCTTGCCTTAGCTTCTACGTGTAACCCCGGGCCTCTCGCACATACACATACGCACACACGCACACAGAAGACCAGCCATCACTGCTGAGTCGCCTGCCGGCTCGTCAGTGTCTGGACGGGGAAGTGGTCAGTGACACTCGCGGTGCTCAGGGATGATTTCTGGCTCCTGAATGTGTTTGGTGGTGGGAGTGATGGCAGGGAGGGCGTGATGGTCAGCTGCCCGCAGGGCAAGTACCTGTCCCCTCTGCTCTCTGGCCCTGAATCGGCAGTTGTTTGTTTGTCTGTTTTGGGTTGAGTTTTTGCGCAGAAATGACACTTGGTGGGCTCAGGGGGCTGTGCGGGAGACTGGGGGTCGCACTCGGGGTGGCGAGAGCCAGACTGGCAGCTCTCTGGGCTCCGGAAGCTGCTGTGGTCGCTCCCCTGAGACAGACTCTCTCCTCTGCTCTTCAGAGATTTAGTCCTGAGAACGAGTGTGCCTCAGAAGGCCCCACAGTGGGCTCGATGGTCGGGGCCTGGTAGTGGCCGCGGCAGCGTCTGACCGCCTGACCATGAGTCTGCTGAGGCCCAGCGGGCTGAAGTCCCCCACCAAGATCCTCAAGCATGGGAGCTGGGCCCTGAAGGCACCCTCGGCCGGTAAGTGCGCTCAGTCCAGGCCAAGGGAGACTCATTCCCACCCGGGAACCCCATCCCGAGTCCTCGCCCGGGAAGGGCTCCCTGAGCTGTAGACAAGTCCATGGTTCTGGGGACAGCTCTCACACACGAGTGTCACGTTCTGTGAGTTTAGTGTCACGGCAACTGGTGACAGCTGAGGCGACCAACACGCTCCCTTCTAACTGGTAGCTCCCTTGCCCAGGCTTGGGGACAGGCTTAGGGAGGTGGACTCACCTGGACTAGAGGGCCTCATTGCCGGCCAAAGCCACAGTACAGTGGGGAGGGCAACTGGCACCCCATGTGACTCTCCACCCTCAACCTCACCATGAGTAACACTGAACGGAGAACCAGAAATAGGCCCTGAGCACTGGCTGGGGTGCTCCCCCCCAAAAATAAAAAGAAGATGGGCCAGTGGACACAGCAGAAATAAGACACTGGGTTCGAGCTTTCACCTGGCTTGGTCCGTAGTATCAGGGGGTGTATCCAAAGATTTCCCCTGAGCTGCCCAAAGTATGACTGTGGCCTGGGATGCTGCGGTAGGTGAGCATGTCCGCTTCACGGCAGGCCCAGCCAGGCTTTGCCACAAGCAGCCCCCGTCATTGGCTGGGAGTAATCCCGAGCACTGCTGGGTTTCCCTCCCCCCCAACCACACTTTAACTGGACCTGCACAGGCCCTTCCTGTCCCTTCTGACCCTTCTGACCCTTTCTGCTGTTCCAGCTGCTGCTCCCGTTGAGAAGACCATGCCTGGGGAGAAAACCCCCATCGCCCCCTCCTCGGAGATGCAGGAGGAGTTTGTGGGCGACTTCCAGGTCGGGGAACGAGTCTGGGTGAACGGGAACAAGCCTGGATTCATCCAGTTCCTCGGGGAGACCCAGTTTGCCCCTGGTCAGTGGGCCGGGATTGTCTTGAACGAGCCCATCGGCAAGAACGACGGCTCGGTGGCGGATGTGCGCTACTTCCAGTGCGAGCCGCTGAAGGGCATCTTCACCCGGCCGTCCAAGCTGAGTAGGAGCTTCCAGGCCGATGATGAGACCAACTGCCGGCAGCCAGCGCCTGCCGCCTGGGCCACACCGCCCCTGTCGGCCTCCCCGGCCCCTGCCGGCACCGCGAAGGTGCCCCAGTCCCCCGCGAAGGAGTCACCGGCCACCCCTCACATCAGCAGCCTGACCAGGACGGCCAGAGAGTCCATCTCCAACCTCTCTGAGACCGGCTCCCTCAAGAAAGGGGAGCGGGAGAGGAAGCTCGGGGACCAGGTGCTGGTGAGTGCCGAGGGCAGCGGTCGCGGGTGGCTGTCCATTCGCCTGTCTGGTCCATCAGTTCCTCCAGACTCGCGGTTTGGGTGGAAGCAGGAGCAGCCGGGACGCCTGGTCCTGCAGTTTCCAGCGTGATGGATGCGTGCGGGGATGCTGCCAGTTTTACCAGTTTAGCCAAAACAGGGTGGAGGGGTCATGCCGTGGGGAGGGGTCATGCTTGGCACGCCTCTGACCCGGGGTTTAAGTCTTGGTCCCATGTACAGTCCCCCAAGCACATCCCGGAGGGATCCCTGAGCACCAAGCCAAGAGTAAGCCCTGAGCACTCTGACTGTGACTCAAAAACAAACCAATGAACAAAGTTGGATATCGGTTCTATTTCTCTGGTTTTCTATGTTTTTGTTTGGGGCGTCACAGGGTGGTCGCACACAAAGCCAGTGCCCTTCCCCCTGGAAGGGCACTGTCCAGCGCTTTGATTCTGTTTTGCTCTGTGTCCCGGGAGCCAAGCGTCAAGCCAAGGCATAGTGAAGGAGAACTGGAATATCGAACTCTGCTAAGATACGAGCATAGTCACTTTCCTTTAGCTGGTTTCTGGCTTAATTGTTCTCCAGCGGTGGGGTTGCCACTGCTCCGCTCCCACACCCACGGGGCAGCGACCCCCTCGCCACACCAGGTGGCTGGCCTGGGTCAGAGATTCCCGGGGGTGTGGTCAGCCAGGCCACCAGTGACAGCGAGTGGGTGTGAATGCCGCTGCCTTGCCTGGACACTGAGCAGCAGTGTCTGCTCACCCTGTAGGGGTTACGGGGGGAAATGGCACCTTGACCTTTGGGGTTTCTTCAGGAAATCCCGACTCTGAAGCCAGAATGTTCGTTTGCGGGGGTGGGGGCGCTGTGCGCAGTCCAGGGTGCCTGACCCACGTCCCTCCATCCCTCCGGCAGGTGGGAGGCATGGAGGCCGGTGTGGTGCGCTTCCTCGGGGAGACGGACTTCGCCAAGGGGGATTGGTGCGGCGTAGAGCTGGACAAGCCACTGGGCAAGAACGATGGTGCCGTGGCCGGAACGAGGTGGGTCCCCCTGCCCCCCCAGACAGCCTGGGGCCATGCAGGGTGCCCGGGAGGCGCTGAGGGGACTGCAGGCCACTTCACTTGGTTCTTAGGCGGGACCACTTCCGTTGGCACTCGTGGACCCTGCAGGGATGTGGGGACAGCCTGGGGCCCCCACATGCAGCTGTGCTCGGGCCGCAGGAACCCCCCGGGCGTGCTGTCGCCCTTCAGATGCCAGGGAGGCTGCTTGGAATCGCCCTTGGTTTGCGTGGTGGGGGTGGGCAGCGTGCGAGAGAGTGTGGGTGTCAATGTATGAGGGAGTGTGTATGTGAGCGTGTGAGTGTGGGGCTGTGAGAGTGTTGGTGGGGGCGTGGGCATGAGAGTGTTTGTGGGGGTGTGAGCGTGTTTGTGGGGGAGTGAGAGCGTGTCAGTGTTGGTTTGAGAGCGTGCAAGTGTTGGTTGGGGTGTGCATGTGTGTTACTGTGGGGCTGTGGGTGTGTGGGAGTGTTGGTTGGGGTGTGAGTGTGTGTGGGTGTGGGAGTGTCGGTGCGGTGTGAGTGTGAGTGTGTGTTGGTTTGGGTGTGAGTATGTGTGTTTCTGGGGAGTGAGTGTGTGTGAGTGTGGGGCTGTGGACATGTGGGAGTGTCTTTTGGGGTGTGAGTGTGTGTGTTTGATGGGGTGGGAGTGTGAGAGTATGGGAGTGTTGGTTGGGGTGTGAGTGTGTTTGTTGGGCTGTGAGAGTGTGGAAGTGTGGGAGTGTTGGTTGGGGTGTGAGTGTAAGTGTGTGTTGGTTGTGGTGTTTATGTGTGGGAGTGTTGGTTGGGGTGTGTGTGTGTTTGTTGGGTTGTGAGTGTGTGTGAGTGTGGGCTGGTGGAGGGTATGATGCTTGTTGGGGAGTGAGTGTGAGTGTGTTTGTTGCGGTGTGAGTGTGAGTGTGTTTGTTGGGGTGGGAGTGTGAGAGTGTGGGAGTGTTGTTTGGGGTGCGTGTGTGAGTGTGTTTGTCGGGGTGTGAGTGGGTGGGCATGTGGGGCTGTGGGAGCGTGTTCGTTTGTGGGGGTGTGAGACTGTGGGACTCAGTGGACTTCTGGGTCGGCGCTTGTGTCTCTTGCCGAAGGTGTTTTTGTCCCCCCCTCCTCGTTGTCCGCAGGTACTTCCAGTGTCAGCCCAAGTATGGCTTGTTTGCTCCCATTCACAAAGTCACCAAGATCGGCTTCCCGTCCACGACGCCGGCCAAGGGCAAGGTGGCCGCTGTGAGGCGTGTGATGGCCACCACCCCCGCCAGCCTGAAGCGCAGCCCTTCGGCCTCCTCGCTCAGCTCCGTCAGCTCCGGGGCCTCATCCGTGAGCAGCAGGCCCGGCCGCACAGGACTAGTAAGAAGCCCCCCACCACTGCGGGGTGCTCGGGCCCCCACAGACTCCCACAGCCCCAGGGGCAAGAGGCGGAGCAGGAGCACGTGGGCTGAGCAGCCTCGGGTGGCAGGCGAGTGGCTTCCCAGCCACCACCGGTGACAGGAGCAGGGATGGGCCTTTCCTGGGGTGCTCAGGGCTCCTCTCTGGCCTCAGGCCACCTTAGGGATGAAGTGGGGTAGCTGAAGGGGGTGCCTGAGGGTCAGAGCAGGGCCCAGAGACTCTGGGGAACGCTTGGCCCTTCATCTTGCTTCTTTGCTCTCTCCGTCTCTCCCTGCTCCCTCCTGTCCCTCTGCACCGCTGTCCACATGCAGAGTGGCCTCGACTTCTGTCCATTGCGGTGCCTCAATTCAAAGCTGGGGCCTCGTGGCTTCTCCCCTCACGTCTATCTGAGTCATAAACACTAAAGTGTGTCTGAATATGCAAGGGTGCCCTGAGATATTGTCCACAGGGAAACGGGCCCACGATGGAGAGTGTGTCCCGGGGGGCTGAATTTGCTGGGGGCTGCGCTTCCTGCCACTGCCTCTGCTCAGTGCATTGACTCTCGATGCGGAAGAGGAGGGAGTGAGTGTGTGTGCAACGGAAGATACAAAACAGATGACACGGGAACGGGAGCCAGGAGGCCACGCGCCGTGGGCACAGGCCTGGGGCCAGTCCTGTCTTGCTCGACCACCACCAGGTTTCCCTGCCCCACCTGCATCCTCACGTCCGACTCCTCCTTCCCTTCGCCTCACCATTTAGGAGGGGAGCAGACTCAGAAGCCCCTCTCCTTCCCTCGCGAGCCAGCCCATTTGTGGAATTTGGTTTTGTTTTTCTGCTTGACTGTGGACCACACCCTATAGTGCTTCGAGGGTCCGTTTGCAGTGCTGAGGTTGTGCCGGGGCCTCCCACCTCCAAGCAAGAGCCCTACGCCTGAGACGTATCTCCAGCCTCCCCCCGCTATCTTGTTTTGTTCTGTTTTGGGGTCACACTTGGCAGAGCTCAGGGCTTTCTCCCACCTCTGTGCTCGGGATTATTCCTGGCGGGCCTCCGGGATTGAGCCTGGGCAGCGCTGGGGCTTTGCTCTCCAGCTCTTTGGCCCCTGCCTTGCATATCTTTATGCAGGGTGGAGCTCACTCCTAAACTGAACATCACCGTTAGCGTCTATGACAGGAATATAGAAAGATTCTGTGTGGCTTCACGGAAGTATACCTCGACAACATAATTCCATAAGTGCACACACAAGCGTTCATACACACAGTCACTCATACATGTACACGTAGTGCATACCGTATATACACAGGCTTATGGGTATACACACACAGGCACATACATGCATAAACACAACGTGCGCATGCACACAGGTGCGTGTAGATATGCCCACCAGAACATACATGCATGCATACATACATACACACGGGTCCGTGCGTGCCCTGTGGAGGCCTCCCTGTTCGTCTGTTGGCTGAGTTGCTCTTCTGAGGTACCAGGCTCCCACAGAAGGCCTGGCCTTGCTGGGATGGAGCCTGGGGCCTCACAAACCACGCGCAGGGCAGAGGCTTTGGCATCAGCATCCTGAGTTCAGCTCTTGCCCCGACCTTGCCCAGCCCCTCAGCACGCGCCTCCCCCCATGCTAGGGGTGCTGCTTTCTCCCTGCTCCGGCGCCTGAACCTCACAGTCTCGTCTCCATAGTTGGCTGAAAGAAGCCCATCGCTCCTGTGCTGGTTTCCTCAGGGAGCTGTCTCAGGCCCAGGAAGCGTGTGCGTCTGGCCTGCCCCACCCGCTCAGGCCAGGAGGCTCAGGGAACACCGCCACCCGCCTTTCTTAGTTTTTATTTTTGCTCTTTGGGGTTCACCTGGCAGTGCTCAGGGACTCCAGGCATGGTGCTTGGGGGCTGCTCCCGGTGGAGGGGGGGTTGAGCCCGGGTCTTGGTGTTAGACCCCCAAGGCTGGCAAGCTCTTCCCAGCCACCCCTTGAAATCCGAGTTGACTGCAGTTCCCGGGAGCACTGCACATGGCTGGCCCGAGAGCTCGTGTGCTCCTAGAAATTTTAGTTATTATTTGGTTTGGGGGGCCACACCCAGGGGTGCTCAGGGCTTATTCCTGGCTCTCTGCTTGGGGGGTGGGGTCACTCCTGATGGTGCTGGATCTTGAACCTCTGCAAGCACCTTCCCCCACCCCCCCCAACAGACTCTTTGGCCCTGGGGAGGGCATTTAATCGGACCAGATATACTTTAAGTGTATCGGGAAATCACGGCCAGGTCCTTACGCACAGGCAAGGATGATCCCGCTCTCCGGACAGAACCAGGTGGCTCGAGAGCTCCCAGCAGGCAAAGCAGCATTGTACAGCCTGGGCCATGCTGGGCCAGTCGGTCAGGAGGCGTTTGGCAGCAGCTCAGATGATGCGGGGAAGCGGCAAGAGAACCTGCGGCTGGACCGCAGCAGGGCGATGGAACAGGGATGGCCGGGCAGAAGGAGCGGAAGTCCTGGCCATCGCCGCTGCAGCCCCCGCCACCCTGTGCCCGAAGAATGAAGATCAGGTCCCGCCTTGTCCCCTCCTGCAGGGGCCGTTATGCAGAGAGGGATCTGGGTCTGCAGAGCGACCATGAGCGACCACGAGCCCAGGATAGAACGGACAGGACCCCCGGTCCCCGCAGAGCTTCAGCCCACTCCCCTCCCCTCCTCACTGTCTTTGCCTCTTCTCTCCTTCCCTTTGTGCTTGGTCTTTCCCTGAGCTGCCCTTGCTGTCCTGCTCGCTGGGCGTGAGCCCTCACACATTCGAACCACTTTTTCCTTTTTTTCCCCTGGACTTTGGCCATGCCCCAGCAATACTCAGGACTTACTCTGGACTCTGCACTCAGGAGTCACTCCTGGTGGGCTCGGGACCCTATGGGGTGGGTACCTGTTATCCAGCTCGGGTCAGCGGCGTGCAAGGTCAGCGTCTTTCCCGCAACTTTATCATTCTAGCCTCTCATCTCCCATTTTCGAAAGCAGATGGCACAGGGGTCTTTTATAGGGTCACACCCAGTGACCCCCGGGGGCACGGGGCCATTCCCAGAGACAAGAGTCTCTGGTTACTGCTATTCAGGCATGGGGCGGGTGCCCGGGAGAGCGAGGTGAGCTGGAAGGAAGAGGAAGAGAGAAGGGACAGGCTTCCCAGGGAGACCCTGACGGACCTGCAAGGCTGAAGATGCTGGAGCTGGCCTCAAGCTCAAGCCAAGGGCTCATCCTTAAGGAAGCTCAGGCCAGAGCGGGCTGTGGAGGGGGCTGCCTCCGGCTCTGCAGAAGAGTCTCTGGATTCCCACGACGCCCGAGGTCAGTGGAGCGGCAGGTCCCGTCCAAGGATCTTTGGGAAGGTTTCATGACGTTTCTGCTGAGAGTCGCTGGCCCATATGCAAGGATGCAGCACTGCTCCATGTGCTTTGCCGAGGATCACCGCGAGCATGCCCGTGTCGGCCGGCCCCATCCCCTTCACGTCTCTTTTTCCTTTGCAGTTGCCGGAAACCTCCTCCCGCTACGCCCACAAGATCTCTGGCACCACCGCCCTCCAGGAGGCGCTGAAGGAGAAGCAGCAGCACATTGAGAAGCTGCTGGCCGAGCGGGACCTAGAGCGGGCGGAGGTGGCCAAGGCCACGAGCCACATGGGGGAGATAGAGCAGGAGCTGGCCCTGGCCGGAACGGGCACGACCAGGTGACGTCTGTGCAGACAGCAGTGCCGGGGCCGAGAGACACCTGCGGTAGAGGCTGGGCACGAGTTTGGTGCAGGCGGTGCAGGCAGAGGCCGTGGGTCCCCGTCTGCCGTCGTTGCGGTGGCGTCCGGCGCGTGGTTTGATCGCATGCGCCTTCTGCTCGCCCTGTGGGGGTTTAGGGAGTGCCGAGTTGTCCGCGCCGGTGCTTGCGTGGTGTGGTTCCCCTCTGGCCTTCCAGAACTGCCGTAGCTTAGGTGGGAGATGCATTCAGCTTGCCGTGGTGACAGGTGGCGATGCCAGCCCACAGAGGGCTGTTGGGGGCGGGCGAGGCCACTCACGCGCCGTTGCCTCTACAGCACGTCCTGGAGCTGGAGACCAAGAACGACGAGCTGCGGGCCATGCTGGAAGCGACCGACTGGGAGAAGGTGGAGCTGCTGAACCAGCTGGAGGAGGAGAAGAGGTGAGGCCGTGCCCGGAGCTGGGGGCTCCCTCGGGTGGGGCACTCCTGGCCTTCCAGGGCCGTGAGAACCAGAAACCAACGGGTGCCCAGTCCTGAGCGCGGCCTCAGCGGGAGGGCTGGGAGGGGGGGGAGCTCAGTGGAGCCAAGCCACCCCCGGCCCTCCCTGCTGTGTCCACCTGGCCTGGTATTCAGGAGGCCTGTGCTGGGTGGCAAGGAACTGTCCTAACCCAGTGGGGCCCTGTGGGAGTCCCTGTGGTTAAGTCCCAGGCGGGAGGAAACCCACAGTACTCATGGGGCACGACAGCAGACAGACAGGGCTCAGGCTAGGCTGCAGACAGACGGACGTGGTGCTCAGGCCGGGGTGCAGACAGACAGACATGGGGCTCAGGCCAGGCTGCAGACAGACGGACGCGGGGCTGAGGCCTGGCTGCAGACAGATGGACACGGGGTGCTGGCCGAGACCGCCTTTTCAGATGGGCTCCCGGCAGTGTGGTGCCCAGGGTCACTGCCAGTGCCTGGCTCAGCCCCTCAGCTCCACATGCTGACTCGACAGTCACTGGGAGCCCCTCTCCCCCGCCCCTCCCCTCCCCGCCCCCGAGTTGTTGGCTGCTTCTCCCCCAGGGGCTCAGTTGTTGTCCCAATGTGGAGACAGGCGCTGGCTGGGAGGGACTGGCAGGCGCCGCGGGTCAGTTTTTAACCACCTCTGTTAGCTGCGAGGCAGAAAGGGTTGATATGACACTGCACCTGGCGTTGGCTTGGCCTAGCTTCCTCCTGTAGCCTGCGGGTCCCACCCAGTGCTCGAAGCTGAGGGGACTCGCTGACTTTCTTTTTTTTCTTTTTGGGTCAACCCAGCGATGCTCACGGGTTACTCCTGCCTCGGCACTCAGGAATTACTCCAGGCATTGCTCCGGGGTCCACAGTGGTATGCTGGGAATTGAACCCGGGTCGGCCACGTGCAAGACAAACGCCCTGCCTGCTGTACTCTCGCTCTGGCCCTCCCCGACTCTCTCAGCCCTCCTGTGTGTGGAGCCGGGGGCTGGGTCAGGCGCATCTACAAGATGGTGGCCCTCATGGGGGGCAGCAGTGACGCCCCTCACAACGTCTCCCTCTCCCCCACAGGAAAGTGGAAGACCTCCAGTTCCGAGTCGAGGAGGAGTCCATCACCAAAGGCGACCTGGAGGTAAAGCCCGGGCAGGTCCTGGAGGCTTGCAGGGTGCAGGCAAGGATGCGGGGCGGCCTGGCCGACCCCGCCGGGACCACTTCTGCTGGAGACTCCGAATCAGACAGGGATACCTGGGGTCATGCACCTGGCAGGGCCCGGCTGACACATCTCTGCTCCTTGGGGCTGGAGGCTGCTCTTGATGAGTGTTTTTCTCTCGTTCTGACAGTCGGGTCTATGCCTTTGCCTCAGCTTTGATTTTCAGTCGAGCAGCACAAATCAAATCCTTTAGAACCCCATTTTTGGGAAGCTTTTCCTTAAAACAAGAAGAAGCAAAGAGTCAGTTTGGAAAAGAAAAATTTCTATTTCTGCTTCTTTTCCTTCCTGTTTTAAGTTCATGGAAATTTTGTTTTCCCACCAGAAGGAGGTGAAGTCCCTGCAGGCGGCCTCCGAGAAGCTCGCCAAGGAGAACGAGTGCCTGAGGACCAAGCTGGACCATGCCAACAAGGAGAATGCGGACGTGATCGCCCTGAGGAAGTCCAAGCTGGAGACGGCCATCGCCCCGCACCAACAGGTCATGGGCGAGCCGAAGGCATCCGTGAGCCAGGGCGTGGGCGCCGAGGCGGCCGAGCTGGCCGAGCTCAAGATGCAGATCGAGAGGCTACAGTTCGAGTACCAGCAGGAGGTGGAGAGCCTGAAGGCCCAGCAGGCGGCTGAGCGTGCAGCGCACGCCTCCGAGCTGCAGACGCTCAGGTCGCGGCTGTTCAGGACAGCCCAGGAGCAGAAGAACAGCCTGGAGGCCGCACGGGCCAAGCTCGAGCAGATCGAGGACCAGCACCTGGTGGAGATGGAGGACGCCCTGAACAAGCTGCAGGAGGCGGAGACGAAGGTAAAGCACCTGGACGGGTTGCGGGCCGTGTGTAGTCAGCAAGCCCAGGCCCTGGCCAATGCCACGGCACAGCTGGAGGCCACCCAGCAGAAGCTCTTGCAGCTCGATGGGCTCTGGAAGGCCAGTTCCGAAGGTCAATTGGGAATGGAGAAGCTCAGGCAGCAGCTCCAGGTGGCTGAGCGGCAGATTCAGGAGTTAGAGAATGCAAAGCGGGACGAGAGCTGCAGGTTGGTACTCGGGCGCCCTCGCCCACTTCCACGCTCGCTCCCTGCATGCTGTGTGTCAGTCTGCTCGCCGTGTTCATTCTTGGTGCTGACAGGTCTCCCGGTCACGTCCCGTGCGGTTCCCTCTGAGGGGACTGAGAAGGTGTCGGCACGATTCTGGGGCTGTCATTGGTTCCCAGCACCTGGATGCCGTGCTAGCCTTGGCCCCGGCTAATCGGGCCCGTCTGGGGTCTTTCTGAAACAGAGAATTCTTCATGAGGCCAGTGAGAAAACAAGATAGGAGCCCCCAGAGCAAACTCTGCCCCCGCCCCTTGGGCCCGCTGCATACTCGCCGAGTTCGCCCAGACACTTGGACTCGAGTCAGGCCGCGAGGGTCTTTCCCTGACCTTGCTGACCACCTGCTCGTGTGACGGGCTTTGCCATCCTCTCCCCGGAGCGCCTCAGTTCCCAGCTGGTGCTCGATGCCTCTGAGCCTCTGAGCTCCCTCAGGGCTGGTAACGTGGCCCATCTTGGTATTTCTCATTGCCAGCCCCTCCCTCCCTGCAGCACAAGCCCCCACCCAGCCCTGCAGAGATTTCATCCCTTTCAGCCTCTAAGGGGTGCTTGGGCCAAGTCCGCCTTCCCGCATGGCCCTCTGCTGGCCACGGGCATGGACTCTCATGGTAGCCCTGACCCTGGGGAACGAAGAGACAGTGAGATCTGGGCTAAGCCGAGGAAGCTGCAGTTCTCACCAAGGACCCTCGAGAAATGCCCTTTTCCTCCTATAGGATTGTCGTGGCAGGGACGCTCCCTCACCCCCAGCGCCCCCCGCGCTGGGCACTTTGTTGGAGAAACTTCTCTGTTGGCCAAGATGGAAGGGCTGTGGGCTTTGTAGACAGGACTGACAGACATAACAGAAGGGCCCAGAGATCCCTGGGAGTTCCCTTCAGGACTCAGGACTCCTTGGCTGGCATTCCAGAAATACCGGCTGAAACAAATGGAATCAATTCCTGGGACACAGCAGGGGATAGCTAACCCACTTGTTCGCATCAAGATGTAACAAACGTCAAGTTCTGGTGACTGCTGTCTAGTGGATTAGAGGGTCTTCATTTTAAATTTCATATTGAAACCCCTCAAACTTTTAAAGTCACAGAAAAGAAACTACAAGAAAGTAAATCTTGGGGGCCGGTATGATAGTACAATGGGAAGGGCATTTGCCTTGCACGCGGCCCACGTGGGTTTGATCTCCATCATCCCATAGGGTCACTGTCATTGTCTCTACCCTCCCGTTGTTTATCGATTAGCTCGAGCGGACCCAGTAGCGTCTCCATTGTGACACTTGTTACTGTGTTTGTCATATCGAATACGTCACGGGGAGCTTGGCAGGCTTTGCCGTGCAGGCGAGATACTCTCGGTGAGCTGGCCGGGTTACTGCCAAGGAGAAATTCCTGAGCACTTAGGGTGAGCTAAAAGGACAAAAGAGAATAAAAAAAGATAACCTTTTCTTCCCTTCCTCCCCTCCCTTTCCCTTTCTTCCCTGTTTCCTCCCTCCCTCTTTCCTTTGCTTAGCCTCCCTCCTCCCTTGCTTACTTCCCCCATTGGTGCTGCAGTTCCAACTCGGGCCTGGTGTATACTCCAGCCCTTTGTGCCGTCTCCTCGCCCCTGGAAAGTCAGTCTTTCTCAAAGGCTTTCTTATTTTCTGGCCACTCCAAAGTTAGGTCTAGAAAACGCCTCTGTTTGGGCTGTTTCAATAACCACTAGACAGTCATCACCAGAACTGCCGGCGCCAAGGCCTTGGCTTCACGAGCTTCAGGCAATCACACGCACCTCACGCCTCTGTTCTTCGGGGTTGTGTTGGGTCATGGGCTTCTCATACATGTTTTCTGTTTTGTTTTCCCCTTCCCGTTCCTGTTTGTCTCCTTGGTCCATTCACTCCATCCTTGTGACTCTGGTAGGCCGATAGCCTGGCCGAAGATCTGCAGGGGAAGGGGCTAGCGCTTCGTAGTCTTCAGGAAAACTTGAACGAAAGCGGCCGAGCTGAGGGACCGTGTGTGCGCGCGTGTGTGTGTGCATGTGTGTTTTTTGTGTGCATGCTGGTGAGCAGAGAAGAGGGGCCGTGTGTGTGCGGGTGTGTATGTTTGTGTGTTTGCGTTGTGTCTGTGTGTGTGTGTGCTCGTGTGTGTGCGTGTGTGCTGGGAGCGGGCAGGGAGCCGGCTGCTGACGGTGGCCCCTGGCTCCCCGCAGGAGGAGAAGGTGGACGTGAGCCGCAGCCAGTGCCAGGCTCTGCAGGCCGAGCACACCAAGGCCAGCGTGGAGAGCCAGGGGCAGTACGAGGAGGCGCCGCAGGCCCTGCAGAAGCTGCTGCAGCAGGCGGAGGAGAAGCTGCAGGCAGCGGAGGCGGAGAACGGGAGCCTGCTGCGACAGGTGGCCGAGCTGAAGTCGCAAGCCGATAAGGCCAAGGTGGGTGGGCGCAGGGCAGCGCCGCGGCTGATGGCGGCCGTCTCGGGGTCGGGCTCTGTTGGGGGGCCTCGGCCTGCAGCTGCAGACACCTCCCCCACCCGGCGGCGGCTGTGAGAGCAGGAAGGGGGTTGCTCCCGGGGCGCCCAGCAGATCATGCGGAAGCCCAGGGACCCCAGCTTGGGTTTTCCGTTTTGTTTTGAGCTTGTTCAGTAAGTTCAGGCCTTCGTGTTTTCACTTGATTGCTCAAAGGCATTTTTTAGTGTGTATCAGAGAAATGTTAAGGTTTGAGGCTCAGTGGAGAGAAATAGAGCGGCTGGAACTAGTGCAGCAAGAGGGCACTTGCTGTGCACGTGACCCACCGGGGATCCCCAGCATCCCCCATGGTCCCCCAAGCACCCAGGAGGAAGCCGTGACCTCTTCCGGGTGTGAACCCCAAAACAAAAAGGAAAAGAATGTACACACACATATATGTGTGTACATACATAACATGTACCTATGTGTCCATCTTTATATACATACAACAAGTGCATTTGAATACATATGTACGTATTTGGATACATTTTTAGTTTTACATGCTTTATATCATGTATAGTTTATATATTAATGTGTATGCATATACATATATGTGCTTGTATGTATATGTGTGTATACATATCTATAAGCCAATGGAAAGAAAACGGAAGCGGGGTTACATCAGAGGAAACCAGGGCTGCTGAGTGGCGGCCGTGGCCTGTGTGTGTGTTGGTGCCCGGCCTCTTTCCACCACGCACCGCAGCCAGGGCTACGTCTCCTCTCTGGACCACGTGCACGGCCCAGTTCTGTGGCCAGCAGCGTTGTGTGCATGCTCAGGTCAGTCCCATTCCGGTAACATGGCCGTCAGCGGTCAGCTTCCCAGCACATGCCAGTAGCCTGCTGCGGCTCATGACTGCTGAGCTGGACAGAGAAGATAGCCCTTGCTGCAGAAAGTTCTGGAAAGTACATGGCGGTTCAACTGGGGTGTGCATTGAGACTCAGAACTGAAAACGCACAACCCGTTGCTGCCGGGCAGGGAGAGCAGGTGAGGGAGACCCTGACCCGTGTGCGGCCAGTCCTCCTGGAGCCCCTGGGACCCTCCCAAATGACTGCAAACACTGCCCTCCCATTGCTCATCGATTGGCTCGAGCGGGCCCACTAATGTCTCCATTTTGAGACTTGTTACTGTGTTTGGCAAGAAAAACTTTTGGCTTCAGTCTCCAAAGCTTGGTGGATTCGTCTGGATTTTCTATAAAGTGTATAACTTTTGGGACTAAGTCCATTTCCTGCCTCTGTTTGTCCCTGTGAAAATCGTTTGACAAGCAGTGGTTGCTCTTCCCTTCCCCTCCTGCACAAAGTTCCAAAACAAAATACTTTTTGTAGTTCTTTGAATTGTATTGAAAACTAGTTTTTGAATGCATCCCTTCTAGGACAGAGTGATGGATTTTATAATAGAAGAATTGAAGTAGGGGGAAAAACCTTATGCCCCAATGTCAAGATCCAACTGTACTTACACCTTCCGGGGAGCTGTCAGGAATCATTTCAGACGGCATTTCAAAAATCAAATCGGCTGATAGTAGAATGGGTAGGGTGCTGCCTTGTACTCAGCCAACCCGGGGTTGATCCCCAGCATCCCGTATGGTCCTCCGGCCCTGCCAGCAGTGATCCCTGAGCACAGAACCCTGAGCGAGACCCGAACACCAGCAGGTGTGGGGCCCCCATCCACAAAATAGGCAGGTAGTTATGTTGACGCTAAGAAGCTAACTGTGTTTGAGCCTCTCCATCCTGAGTCTGTGTGTGCGTGTGTGTGTGAGTGTGTGCGCGTGCGCGTATACACGCGTGTGCAGGTAAGACTACTCTGCCATTTTCATTTCTGGTATTTAGGCCACATGAAGTGCTGGGCTTGCGTGTGCCTGCTTGATCTCATTCTTGTTTCCATTCTTCCCCGCTTTTTGTTTCTGCAGTCCTTAACTTGCTTATTAAGCTCGGCCAAAGAAGAGATGGAGCTGATGTCAGAGGATCGCAGGGCCCTGAGGTCAGAGAATGAATTGCTGGCGAAGGAGAAGCTCTGTCTGAAGTCCGAGAGAGGGTGGTTTCAATTGAAACTCAGAGAAGCGGAGGCCAAAAACTCTTCGCTGCGGGAAGAGCAGAGGAAGCTCTGGCTGTTGAACCAAGCGATTCGCTTGGATAAGGAGAAGGTCATCGAGGCGAGGTGGGCAGCCGAGAAGCTCTGCCAGCAGGAGCGGCTGGACCGAGAAGCCCTCGAGGCGGAGAAAGAGAAAGTGCTGGAAGAGGGCAGGGCGGTGCAGGAGGAGCTCCAGAGGGTGGGCGCGGAGAAGGACGCACTGCAGGTGGCCAAGCTGGGGCTGCAGACCCTGGTGGAGGAGCTGGAGATGAGCAAGAGCAGCCTGGTGGCCGAGTGCAAGAAGGGCCTGGAGGAGAGGGGCCAGCTGGAGGAGCATGTCAAGAAGCTAGTTCTGGAGAACCTATCCCTGGCCAAGGACAAGGACAACATCATCCAGAAGCTGCAGTGCTCCTACGAGGAGCTGGCTCGGGAGCAGAAGTCGCTGGTGCAAGAGATCGAGGAGCTCACGGCTGAGAAGGAGGAGGCCGCCCGCGTGGAGTCGGCCCTGCGTGAGCAGCTGAACAGCCTTGGCTCTGAGAAGGAGCTGCTGGGCCAGAAGGCCACTAAGCTCCAGCGGCAGCTGCACTGGCTGCTGAAAGACCAGGCGCTGCTGGAGGCACAGCACACCGAGCTGCTGGCCGAGCGGGAGGCGTCCCTGCAGGCCCTGGCCTCCCTGGAGGACACCAGGAACACCAATGCGATGATGCAGAGTAAGGTGGGTGATGGTAGTGACCAGGGCTGTGTAGGCCCAGCCTCAGCCCTGAGAGAAACCATATCCTGGGCCATAGTGATAGCACAGCGGGGAGGGCGTTTGACTTACACACCGAATTCCCAGGTTCAATCCCCGGCATCCCATATGGTCCCCTGAGCACCGCCAGGAGTAATTCCTGAGTGCAGTTGTAGGTGAGCCAGTGCCCTCTGAACTCACAGCCCCACTTTCCCGGGCTCGAGTGACTGCTGACAGCCTGAGCTGTTCCACCCTAGCCAGGAGTGATCCCTGAGCACAGAGCCAGGGTTTAGTCCCTACCCCACCGGGTGTGGCCCCCAAACAAACCAAACTGACTACCCACAAAGGTTCTAGATAAGCATGTATACATACACAGACATGTATATATGTATATATGCGTGTATGCTTCAAAAGAGTCGGGGAATATCTACCATTTAAAATATCCGAGAATGATGCCGGAGCAATAGCATAGCAGGTAGGGTGTTGGCCTTGCACATGGCCAACCCAGGTTCCATCCCCGGCATCCCATATGGTCCCCGAAGCACCGCCAGGAGTGATTCCTGAGTGCAGAGCCTGGAGTCACTCCTGAGCAACGCCGGATTGTGACCCAAAAAGCCCCCTCCCCAAATTAATTGGTTCATTAAAATAACAGAAGCCAAAAAGAGGGAAGCTGAGGAAGAAGGGGCTGTGCTCCCCTGGCGCCCATGAGAACCAGGGGCCACGCACATGCTGCCGGAACCCCACCCCCACACGCTCCCAGCACAAGAGGTGATGCTTAAGGAGTGAGAGGCCCCATGGACAAGGACACATCCCTTCAGTCAAGGGGTCATGTCCTTGCCAGAGCCCTCCAATGCCCTTCCTCTTGCTGCTCTCCCAGAACCTGGGCTTCGGGCTCCCATCAAATTGGCAAATCTTCACTTTGCCAGAGTTGAACACCACTTTGGAGGGCTTCTTCCCTGCCAGGAAGGTTCAGTCGCAAACGGAAACACCCACCAGCATGTGGCTTTTCCAGCCTCTTTGCGCATGCTCTAGGCCCAGAGCTGGGGGAGTCTGGTCCTCTGGGCCGCCTTCCTGCTTCTTGCTCCTGTCAAGGGAGACAGCTGGGTGGGGTCCTCCGGGGTTTGCACACTTGGCTGCAGTCCAGTGCCCGCACCTACCATCACCAGGCTCGGGTCTGGCCTGCAGCAGGAGTCAGCCTTGGGGCCTCCTTGATGTCTCTCCTTCCCCAACGCCCCTTCCATCCCACCAGGGTCTGCAGCGCTTTATCGTTTGAATCCTCTCCGAGGAAGGGGACCATCTGGGTCCCAGTGCCCTGAGGAGTTCCCGCACACCCTCACTTCCTGCACTTCTGCACTTAACAGTGGGCTGAAGTGAACTTTGCACGTGGGCTGTGCAGGTGGATCCTGTATGGGCTTGTTGGGAACTGAACATTTCCATGTTTTTTTTTTTTTTTCAGCTGGAAGAAGAGAGATCTGTGTTTCTTGGCTGTAGTGTGGGATGGCCTGGGCACTCTCAGAGACTGGCCATCAGAACTTGCCCTGAGGGAGAAAAAGAATCAGTCTGTTTTTCTGGTTTTATTTACACTTTCTTTGGGGGCCACACCTGGCGATACTCCAGGCTTCCTCCTGGCTCTGCACTCATGAATCACTCCTGGCTGCTCTCCGGTGGCCCCTATAGGATGCCAGGGATCAAACCTGGGTTGGCTGCGTGCGAGGCAAGCACCTTTCCCGCTGTGCTATCACTCAGACCCAACTCGCCCGCCAGTTTTCAAGTGAAACATGAATATTTGTGCCTACAGTCATGCTTACTTTTGTAAAGTGGGATTTCCCCCCGCCCCATTCATTTTAAAGAAGTGAGTCTGTCTTTGTCTCCCTGCTCTTAGAGGAACCAAGGGGTACCAGCATCTCCTCCTGGGGTCTTCCCTGGGCACCCGGGAGCTTGCGCTCAGGAAGGGAAAGGGGAGCTCTGGCTGCCTCCAACCCTGGGGCGGGGACTGGAAGCGGGGCCCAGCCTCCTCTGTGGCGGGCTCCCATGGCTCCCGCAGATGGCTCACCGTTTCACGCTCTCCTTGAACACAGATTGATTTCCTGAATTCCGTGATTGTGGACCTCCAAAGAAAGAATCAGGACCTCAACATGAAAGTGCAGATGATGTCCGAGGGGGCTCTCAAAGGGAACGGGGACGACCTCAACAATTACGACAGCAACAACTTCGGCCCGGCCACCTCATTCTCTGCACTGTGCAGAAATCTCCAGCAGTTCCTGGATTAGATAGCAAGCTACTTGTGAAACACCTGAAATAACCAATTTACTGTCTTTACAAAGTTTACTTTTTTTCCACTGTGGTTTTAGATGAATGTATGATGAGAAATTCAACATTAATAATTTTGGATTTTCTTATCAGAAAAAATTAAATGAAGGACCTGAACCATCAGAAGGTGATCATCCAGTCTGAATCTATTTATGTTCATTTGAATGTTTTCTAGTTCTGTAAAACGTTATAAATAATGTACCATCAGGGCTACATGGATTATAAGAACTTCTATAATTGTATATATGCTTTTGATGTATTTTCCTCTGGAGATTATCAAGTGTCTCACCAGTGAAAGATCGTAATCCATTGACATTTTGCGTAATAAACACGATGGAAATTGTTTCACAAACTATGTAAAGCAGTATTAAAATTAGAGCAAACAATGTTCTTTATCTACTTGAATAAAATTATTTCCTTTTTGCCAGTGATAACTGATTATTCTCCGGTTTATTTATAAAAGATTTTTGGCTAGCAATCAAGAACTATAGAGTCAAAGAAGTCAAAGAGTTTCTACAATGGAATTCTGATACACCAATTTCTTTTTGTTTCTTTATGTTTGTGCCACACCTGGTGATGTCTTAGGGCTTATTCATGGCTCTGCACTCAGGAATCACTCCTGACAGTGCTTGGGCAGACTATACGGAACGTCAGGGATTGAAGCCAGATTGGCCAAAGCAAATGCCCTACCAGCTGAACTATTGCTCTGTGCCTGTATACCATTTTCTTAAAAGTGTTTATCTTGGGCTAAAGAGGTAGTACAGTGAGTAGGGTTCTTACCTTGCATGTGGCTGATCTGGGTTCAATCGCAGGAATCTCATCCAGTCATCTGTGCCCTGGTAGGAGCAGTCTCTAAGTGCAGAGGCAAGAGTAAACTGTAAGAAGCACTGGGTTGGGGGTATGGTGCCACCAGCAGGTCAGTCTGTAGCTGTGAGGCGAGTGCATCAGCAGCCTGATGGCGCCTTCAGACTTCCAGGTACCCCCAAATTGCTGCCATGCCTTGGGTCATACCCCAAAAACGTGGGTCAGAGTTTACCAAGAAAGTAAACAGGCAAAAGTTACATACATAGCACAGAGGGTAGGGCGTTTGCCCTGCACGCTTCCTACACGGCCAACTAGAGTTTGATTCTTCCGCCCCTCTCGGAGAGCCTGGCAAGCTACCTAGAGTATGTCACCTGCATGGCAAAGCCTGGCAAGCTACCTGTGATGTATTCGTTATGCCAAATACAGTAACAAGTCTCACAATGTTACTGAGCAAAATTGATAAATTGATGAACAATGAGAGGACATTGACAGTGACATAAAATAAGAAGGGAGCCTGAGGCTAGTCAGGGTCGGATACACAGTATCCCACGGTTTCTTTCCTTTTGTTCCCACCTGCAGTGCTCAGGGCACGACTCTGGGGGTGCTGGGGGCGTGGTTCTGTGGCCTGTGAGGAAGGCTGCGCTCCTGCTCCTCCTGCATCTCTCAGCCTCCTGCCCCCCCTGCCTCCCGCAGCCCTCCTCCCAGTTAAAACTGTGAGTTCCAGGGGCGGGGTGGGTGACTCTGGTGCCTGATCCAGGAGCTTGGAATCAAATCCGTGGACTCAGACCTGCAAGGCCGGTGCTCCGCCGCCCAGTTACACCCCTGCCCCCCACCTTTATCTATTTAGCTTGCCCACTCCTCCAATCTTGTTTTTTTCAAAAATTTTTGTTTGACGTGCACACCCTGGATCTCGGGTCCAACCCCTGGCTCTGCGCTCAGGGTCACTCCCAAGTCCCCTTGGGGCGTCCTTAGGGTGCGGGGGGGGGGGGCGGCGGTGGATCCTGGTGGGCCTCGTGCAAGACAAGCGCCCTCCCCGCCGTAAATCGATTCCAACCCCGATGGACATCGCTTGGATGGAAGATGCCTGGGACCCCACAGGCCTGTTTGGATGCCTCGGGCCCCTACGCAGCGGTTCACCCATTCCCTGCTGGCCGTCTGCGGTATCGCAGTTCGGAGCCCGTGTGGTCTCTTTGCCGCGGTGCGCCCACCCTCTGCTGGCCGTCTGCGGTATTGCAGTCTGGAGCGCGTGTGGCCCCTTTGCCGTGGTGGGCCCGCCCCCTGCTGGCCGTCTGTGGTATCGCAGTATGGAGCATGCGTTCAAGGTGGGAGGTCTGTGAGTTGCGTGTGCGCCTGCAAACCCACCCAGCCTGCCTCCCAAGGGTGCAGTCGCTGAGCCCACCCCTGCTTGCACCTACGGGAACCATAGTGACATTATGAACCTGAAAGGAGACACAGGATGGAAGGACTCTTCCGTGTCTTTGTGCTCATAGACACCAGGAGTAACAGTGACACTCTCTGTGACTGTCCACAGCGCCCCAGCTGCCCAAAGCTCACCGTGGTTGTCGTAGACTCTTTCAACAATCATTTATACTCTTAGAAACATGGGACCGGAACGATAGCACAGTCGGAGGATTTAATCCTGACTCTGCATTCAGAAGTCGCTCCTGGAAGGCTTAGGGCACACCTGTGGGATGATGGGGCTCTAGCTCCAGACAGCCTCGTGCAAGGGAAACCCTCTACCCAATATGCTCTCTCCAGAACCTTCCTACTATGGTTCTTCCTTCCTTAGGAAGGGTTCTTTGGATGTTGTTTTTTTTTTGTATTTTTTTCTTTTTTGGTCAAAACTGGCCAAGCTCGGTGGTTCTTCCTGGCTCTGCACTCAAGAATTACTCCTGGAGGTGCTCAGGGGACCCTATGGATGCTGGAAATCAAACCGGGGTTGGCCGCATGCAAGGCAACCCTCCTCGCTGTACCATGCTCTGGGTCCAGGCTCTGCAGAAGCGCCTTGAAGATTAGGGGTTAAGAGTCAGCTGAAGGGTTGCAGCAGAACCTAGAAAGGGAAGCCGTCTGAGCCCTGCCCTGTTCTGGCTCAGCTACTTTCCATCCTCTCAAGTCTCCATGCGTCCCCCAGCTCAGAGGCTCTCTCAGACCAGACAGTCTGAGTGTTCTGGAGCTTCAGTACATTGGCCCTTGGTGAATTATTGGGTCAAGCCCTGGGCAAATCCAGGGAGGTCTGGAAGATGCAACCTTTGTTTACTTTGGTTTCCCTTGACAAATGACCTTCACAACCTGAGTGATTTAGCGACTTTCCCAAAAGTGCTTCCTTCACAGAACCAAGAAAACTTCCCAGGGCTGGAGAGATAGTATTGGGTGAAGGTGCTTGTCTTGCTGGTGACCCTGAGTACAGAGCCAGAAGTAGCCTTGAGCATGGCTGGTGTGCCCCAAACTCCCTCCCCATGGAAACCAATCAGACAACAAAAAAAGCAAAGATAAATTAGAAAAAGCCCTTGCTGGGGTTCCCTGTGCTAGGAATAAGGGTAAATAAAGAATACGATTTTGTACTATAAATCACGGTATCAGGGAATTAGCTAAACAGGTTGGGGTGCAGGCTTGCTTCCCAGTATTCATGGTCCCGGAGTATAGCCGGAGCAGTGCTTGAGCACTAATTTGGGAGCTGCCACGAAGGACTGCTGGGGGTGGCCACATATTCTGGCCACACCACTGGGAGCTGTGGGGGGGGTGTATGTCAGTATTAGAAAGGAGAGAAAGCACTGGGGCTTAGTTGGTGATTTGGGGGAAGGGTCTGAGGAATTGGAGGCTGTGGTTGGTATCAACCTCAGGGGATTGGACCCATGCCGGTATGTGCTCTACGATGAAGCCACACACCTCCATCTCTCAATACACTTATCTGGTTCTAAGGAGAGGCGAGACTCAGCTATCATTGCAAAGAAGCAGCAGTTTCCGATGTTGGCGGCGATAGAGGGAAAGTGGGCTTTCATCGGTGGCACTAGGCTCCTGTTGGTTTGTTGCTGTTTTCTGCATTTTTTTCAGAGTCTCAGGGAAACATGATCTGGGCTTGGAAGTCTGTGGAACTGTTTATGTCTAAAAGAACAGCATGAGCCAGAGAGAATTACAGAAGGCAGGACTCTTGCTTTGCACGCAGCTGACCTTGGTTCTATCCCCTGCATCATATGTGGTCCCTGATTCCTGCCAGGAGTGATCCCTGAGCACACCCTCCCAAACAAAACAAAACAAAAACAAGACCAAATATGTTTGCTCTGTCAAATAGATTGTTTTCTTTGATAGGTCATTGTAAAAAGTCCAAATCTGGGGTAATTTTTATTCTTGGCTATAGTTGAGGAGTGGTGAAAGTTTCTTCTTTTTTATTGGGGGGGAGGGGAGTGAGCACTCGTGGCAGGGGTCAGAGGATCTGGGGATAGAACCCAATGGGTGTGTTCAAGGCCATCACCTTACTGAATGTACTGTCTCTGTAGCTCCCAAAGATTTTTCAGAACTTCTAGGACCTCAAGTAACTTTTGCACCAAGGAAATCATACGTAGGCTGGAGAGATAGAACAGGGCTTAAGGTTCTTGCCTTATGTGGGCCCAATCCCAGGTTCATCCCCCACGCCTCGTGTAGCCCCCTGGGCATCACCAGGAGCAATCCTTGAGCACAGAATGAAAAATAACTCTTGAGCACTGTGTTGTCAAGTATGGCCCCCTCCGCACCCCAAGTGGAAACAAAATGAAGTAGTAGATAGATTGTCAGCAGGAACCCTGGGCAATGACTTCTTGGGAAGTAATGAAACCAAGATGGGGTTTGAAGAAGTGACTCTTTCTCCAACTCTAAAGTAGAAAAACATATTATGGCTGGACCCACTTTGTGGACACAGGAACTAAGGCCTGATAAGACTCTAACTGGCACCAGCCCAGGTCCAGTAAAGGCTGGACCCCTTTTTGGAAAGAAGATACAGCAGAAGAATGTGATAGGAAATGAAGATGGACCATCGAAAGTTTCAAATGTTGGGGCCCAAGCTATAGCACAGCGCGAGGGCCCTTCCTTGCACAGGGCCGACCCCAGTCCGATCCCAAGTGGTCATCCGAGCCCCACTAGGAAAGATTCCTGAGTGTAGAGTCAGAAGTAAATCCTGAGCACCACTGGGTGTGGTCCCAAAACAAAAACAAGCAAACTGAAAATTAAGCAAAACAAACCAAAACAACATTACCAAGGTTTTTTTTTAATCTAGTGTGAAAATCCCACACATGGCGGTTTGGGAGAAAACCTACATAATCATTCTGCAAGGCAAACAGTGTGCCCCCAATACTGTGTGTGTGTGGTGTGGGGTGGAGTGGGTAATATAGGGTGGCTGACTAAAAAGCCCAAGTTCTCTCTTGAATGCATCTCTCTCTCATTCACTTTCTCTCTCTCTCTCTCTCTCTCTCTCTCTCTCTCATTCACTTTCTCTCTCTCTCTCTCTCTCTCTCTCTCTCTTTCTCTCTCCCCTTTAACTCTAAGTTAAAACTATTTGACTTCACTATTTGTCTCTTTCTGAAATTCTTTTCTGGGAGCGAAGGCAGCATTCCTGGTAAGTCTGGGTCAGACTTAGGCCTGCCTTTCTTTTCCTGCCAAGAGTAACCCCTCTCTCCACTCTGGGCCCCGCAGCTCCCAGAGCTGGGAGGTCGGGCCAAGGACCTTGTAAATTCTTTCCCGCAACACTAATGCTATAGAAAATCAATGGTGATATGTGTGGTGTTGGAATTATGTGTCCGCGAAAGCACCAAGAACAGTGTTGTGAATCATAGAACTATCATCCAAACAAATATATTACAAATAATATAGTTTTGGGCTGGAGTGATAGCACAGTTGGTAGGGCATTTCCTGTGCATGCGGCTCGATTCCCAGCATCCCAGAGAGTCCCCTGAGCACTGCCAGGAGTAATTCTTGAGTGCATGAACCAGCATCGCTGGGTGTGACCCAAAAAGAAAAAAATATTTTTATTTTTATTTTTTGCTTTTTGGGTAACACCTGGCTCTGCTCAGGGATTCCTCCTGCCTTTGCACTCAAGGATTACTCCTGGCAGTGCTTGGGGAACCCGATGGGATGCCTTGGATAGAGCCTGGGTTGGTCGCATGCAAGGCAGCATACCTTTGTACTATTGTTCCACCCCAAAACATAAAATAAAATAATAAAAGAGCATTAGTAAGACGGAAAGAAATTGAAAGGCATTTGAGCACAGAAACACACATCAATGATGTGAAGGAGTGACCTAGCTTTAGAGTCAGTCCCAAGTCAACTACATGGAAAATGCCAGATCCAGACTATGAGTGCCAGACTCAAAATGTGCCTGTCAAAGTGGAGGGCTGGAGGGTGACAGTGAACCTGGGGACCCCAGTGGGGCGATGGTGATTCTGGTAGTGGGATTCGTGGTGTGATGTTGCATGTCTAAAACTCAACAATCCCCTGCCACGGAACTCAACATTGCTTTAATAAGCCGGAGGATGGTTGAAGAAAGTGTGCAAACTGCCTCTTGGATTCAGAAGACGACTGGGGTCCTGACCATTCTGCAAATGTCAGCTTGGTCTTTCCTGTCTCATCCAGGGAGGGTCAGTGGGGACCCCACTACAGTTACCCATAAAATGTGGTTCTGAGATGCCTCTCACCTCTGCCTATGGGGTTTGTTTCTCGCTGCCTCTCTCCAGACTTCTGCCTGACCCTTTTGTCATTTCATTTTCATTTCATCATCCTGTTAATCGTCGATTGCCTCGAGCAGGCCCCAGTAACTTCCCTTTCATCCTAGCCCTGAGATTATATTCACGGCTCTTTAGGAGAATGAGACCCATCATTGTTACTGGTATTTGGCATATTTGGTAGGCCATGGGGAGTTTGCCAGACTCTGCCCTGTGGGCAGGCTACATTTTGTCAAAACACTTCAAACATTTCCTCCTAATCCTGTTTCTTCTAATTGGCTTCCTATGGAATAAAGAATTTTTAAATTTTTGCTTATTTTATGATCCTTAAAACAAAATTGGAAAAAAAACTCAACACAAATACAATTTTGAAAAATAAATCCTTATCTATTAATATCTTTGCAAATCATGGTGCTTTATTAAAAACAAACTGAAATAACTTGGAAATTGCAGGGCAGTGCGTACGCGTATGTGTGTGTATGTTTGTATATGTGTATAGTCATGTATGTTTGTGTGTGTTGTATGTATGCTTGTATGTGTGCATGTGTATGTGTTTGTATTTGCAAGTGCGTGTTTGTATTTGTGCATGTTTATGTGTGTTTGTATATATTAATTTTGTATACTTGTTTGTGTTT